CATTTTCAAAATAAACCTTTCTCCTTTCGTTACATGGCTTTTTATAGATCCAGTGATGTCATCACTGGGTCTCTGTGCTTCTCTATGCAATGCAAGCAAATCATGGCTGGTGGGAGGGGCCAGCAGGTGCTCTACAAACCTGCAGGCCCCTCCCAACTATTTTGAGGGACGGGCAAGGCGCAGAATCAGTGACATCATCATTGGGTCTCTGTGCCACTCAATGCAATGTAGGCAGGTCATGGCTGTGGGAGGGGCTTCCCGAGAACATCTCAGCACCTTACCTCTGTACTCCTCTCAAGGGCCCTCAGCCCTGATGCAAGCAGTGGGCGGGCTCTTGAGAGCAGTTATGCTGCTATCAAAATGCCTTGATGGGTGCATGTCAGTCTGGAGGAGTGGGCAGTATTGGCATGAAGACCGCCCACCACTGATGCAGAGCATTCAAAAGGGGTGGGGCTAGGGACCGTCAGGCTGGGAAGGAAAGGGCTAGATGATGCTGGACGTCCTCCAGCCAGGAAATGAGGCGGGCTCTATCATGGAATTTCCTCTAAGTGCCTCATACGGTAATGCTGATTTATTTATATAGCTGAGTGTCTGCCGCTCGCCAACCCAAAACTCTTCACTCAAAGTAAGTTTGTTCTTTCCCCGGCAGCCAAGGTAATAAAGACCGGTCACTGCTGATCTCTCTCCTTGTGCAGGGTGACTGGTCTTGTCTCCGCCCCCTCCGGTAATAAAGACCGGTCACTGCTGCTCTCTCTCCTTGTGCAGGGTGACTGGTCCGATCTCAGCCCCCTCCAGTAATAAAGGAAGGGGGGGGGGCATCAACTCCACGGGGAAGCAGATAGAGCAAATATAAAGCTGGGCTCCTCCCAATGCTCTACGGTCGTTGCATGCTATGTACAGCACAGTGATGATGTCACTGCTGCAGCCGTGTTTTTGGTACCGTTGTAAACAGCCGCCGATTGCTGTTTAGATACAAGTGATACGGCGTCAATACAGCCGGATCGCTTGTACAAAGGGGCGGAGCATGCTGGCTGCCCGGGCTCCGCTGTCCCCCGTGTGGGGCCCGGGAACGGCTCGGCGGGTCTCCCCTGACAGATCTGAGGGAGATCAGCAAGCTTCCCCAGAAGTCTCTGATCCCAGAAGTCATCACGTGTATGACATCACTTCCTGGTGTCACTGGGCACATTCTCCGGCTCCTAGAGTCAGGAGATGAAGCTGGGGAAGGAGATCTGTGCTTCATCAGCTTCTTTGGGGTCCCCTGATGTCGCCATAAAGAGGACCTGTCACACCCTATCTGCTATTACATATGGGGGCTTGTTAGTCCCCTATGTGATGGCAATAAGGTTATTGTAACAAAAATAAAAACAAGTGTTTAAAGAAAATGCAAATTTAAAGTGACCCCCCCCCC